TTCATTAAACACATAGTTTCCTAAATGAATAAGGATACCGTTAAAATGCCGTGAGCTAGAAAATGAGAATTGCATGGATGCCTGGGAAATGCTTTGCACATGTATTGGACTACCCTTTTTGGATCACGAAAATCATTTGAAATAAATCCCTAGAGCAAACTCCCGGACGGCAATTCAATATCTAATATGGGGATCTATGAAAGCAAAATAAGCTGTTCTTGAATGGGAGTAGCCTAATTCTGTCGAGATGACTCTTGATGCAAGAGGCAAGCTTCTTGCATAGGTTTTTTCAAACTTTAGTTCATCATTAATATTTAACCATAGAAATCTATAATTATGTACCCTTTCTGTGATTTCGTTGCCAAGATAGATCACAGGTGAGTTGCAGTGGAAAGTAAGTATGCTAGTATCATTAATATTGCAGTCGCACTGTCTTTGAATCTGTTGATATTTTCGAAGATGACCTCATGAAGAGTAGGAATGTCCTTGGTGTGCCATAACATGATGTCATCAGCAAAGAGGGTGGTCGTGGCCGTTATATAGAGGGATTGATCCATTGAATTTTTTTTAGAACGTCTCCGTGGAGTAGGAAATATCTAAGAAGGAAACCGAGTTCGTTTGCTCACATCGTTGATAAAACCTATCTCAGTTCTGCTTGGAAAATTTTAAAGAAGAATTGGGATGTAAGATCTATAGCTTCATGATCTGATAGCTCAGAACAATCAATATTTATGATATTTAAATCACTGCAAATATAGTCAATTATTGAAGCCAAATATTAAGAGGTATGAGTGTGACAGTTTTTACATGCATGATTAGATTGAAAGATGTCAGGAGATTAGTTGTATTGTATTGTCCTTATTATGTTGTTATTATTATCCTTATTATCTGTTTAAAATCTGTTTTTCCGTTAATCAGCTGTCGCCCACATACGAACGACAACTCTCAGAAGTTGAGAAACTTGTGCGAGCTAAGGACTAACGAGGTCTTACCTTTCAACGTGTGATTCCTAACACGTTCCCAAGAAACATCAAATGTTTATGAAAAGGTAATAACTGAATTAACTAAATATAAAAATTTAGCAAAATAATGAAATATTGAACAAGAAAACACAAGTAATTAATATGGGCAGTCAACATTAAATTTGTGAATGACTATTGAAAATAAAAATGTAAAAGATTATAAATAATTGAATAAAAAAACGAGTAGAATTATCAATACGGGCAAACAGTCAAATGTAAAATTTCCATAATCAATATAAAAATATTGAGATGTTTCTTCAACCATGCTAGTCACATTTCTCTTTCCATCTACAAATATTGCAAGTCCAATCATATTCATATGTTGTCTCTGCCACCACACACGTCACACAGAATGCAACCTCTGGACGTTTCTTTTTTGGTCCGCTCAAAATGGCCTATAAAAAAGAATGTGACTTATTTTTGAATAGCCATCTTGCAGAAAAGATAACACCTTATGACGTAGCATCGTTGGTGAGAAAAGCATTTAATAATGTTGCGACTATTAGTTAAGGAGAATCGGGTTTTGGAGCTACTGGAATATTTCCACTAAATTCGGAAGTATTCACAGAAGAAGATTTCTCCGCTGCAGAAACTCTACAATCTGAGACTGTTGTAATTCAAGACTGCAATGAAACTCTCGCAGCTACCAGCATGATTCCCAGCACATCAAAATAATTTCACTCACCAGTTCCGAGTACTTAAAACAAATTGATCCACCGGTCCTTGGGATGTCTGAACGAGTATGCCCACTTGATTCTGAACCAGATATTATATCACCAGCAGCTGGCACGTCAAATCATTTTAGTGCTAATTTGCATGATTTGATCAAGTTGCCAGATAAAACACCTGTTATGAATACAAGAAAAGGCCGAAAGAAGTACCACGCTACAATTTTAACTTCAAAGCCAATGAAAGGAAAGCTGTTAGAAAAAGAAAATGAGAAAATGAAAGAATCAAGGGATAAAGAAAAAGAAAAGAGATGGAAAGGTGAAGGTCAGGGAAAAAGGACTACAATACAGAAGAGGGGTCCTGAAAATGCAAAGCGCCAAGTACTACAAGAAGCAAATGAAACTTCTGTATCAGATGTTGACACTGCCGCAGAAGATGCTGGAAACAGATGCCTGGTATGCAACGATTTTGGAAAGAATAACGAGATGTGGTTCAGATGCACCTCATGTGTGCTATGGGCTCACGCGAAATGCACTGGGTGTAACTCAGCTGAAGGTTATGTCTGCGATACGTGCTAGGTTTTCTTTGACTCCGATTGCCCCCAGGGTGACCACCATTACCTTCACGTTGGTGGAATGGGAGTCAAAACTGTTTCTTTTATTAATTTTATAATATCCAAAGTTGATTGCCAGAGTGGCTGATAATTATTTCTAATGATAGTTAATTAAGTATATGATGTTTAAAGGCGGTTGCAATAAATAGTTTGTTTATGATTATACTTTTATTCGAGTTCTCGCTTAAGTGACCCCCATTACCCTCTTTTACCCTAGTATTTTTTACCTTTGATATAATTATCGTAATGCCTACTTGAGTCATTCATTTCAATACAAGAAATATACATTTTATGGTCACTGATAACTATTTGTATCAGTGACCATAAAATATTTGATTTAATTAAGTTGAGTAGTTGGAGGATTATTTGGAGTAGATATTATAGGAAACAACATCAGAATGTGATGGCCTCATGTTTCTCTGGAACTCTTGATTTGTCAATGAAGTAATTTTTCTTCGATTATCTTAATGCTTGCTGTTCTCGATAACTTTCATACACATATTTGGCACTTAAAATTGCTTAGTTTCTCTTCAATTAATTGAATTTGCTCGGGTAGGACATAATTGTTTTTTGTTTTTGATATATTTGTCCCTTTATTTTTTATAACTACTTTCAATAGGGAGTTTTCCTTTTCAAGGGCGCTAACCCATATTGTAAAGGAAACATTTATAGTTGAAGACAAACCACACTCGTTTCTGTCTTGGTTACAAATATCAAATGTTTTTAGGAACTCCTTCTGACCTTTTGTGAATGAATTAATGGGATATTTGGGAGAATTATACATTGTAAATTTTTATGAATTACTGAGGTCTCTTTCCCAACTTGTTAAAGTTTTGGAATCATTCTTCTCCTTTATGAAATCGATTTGAATAGCATTTTGAGAATTTTCTTTGTGATTTTTTGAAGGTTCTGTCGAAGTTTTTTTCTCTGTATTTTTTCATCAACTGAACTGGTACGTGAAAAACAGTCATTCGCTTTGAGCCAGTGTTCAGTCAAAGGGACTGATTCAGGAAAGTTCTGGCTTTCTATGAAAATAAATTATTCATCGGTCATTGTTGCGGATTGACTGGATATTCAGCAGAAGGAATTTCAATTATTACTTTCTGAACATTCTTCATATGATGGACAATTTTCATCATCTGTCCTGATGACTGCTTTAGTTTTAGACGCTATTCCAGTAGATACAGCTCCATCAACTTCATTTGGACTTCTTAGGATAGTAGCAGTACATTTATATCCCTTGTTAATATGACTGCTGGTTCTCAAAGTAGTAGAAGTTTCTACAGGGCTTTTCATGATGAGCGTTAATTAGCCGTTTCTGACAAACTATTCAACGGATCAACCTGGAAATTTCACAGTATGCATAAATCAATATGACCTACACGCCTAAAATATTTCAGACGAAGCGGCGTTGTCGCTTCTACTATAAAGTA